TGTTACTTTAGGATAAAATATAGTGGGTCGCCAGCACTCTCCTGACTTTTTCTAAAGGCATTAACCGCTCCTTTCAAGAACTAAGCCACGATTCCAGTAAAAATAATTTGAGCAGTTTCACATACGATTTTACTAAATTGAAAGGCTCAGTGATAAAATACAGAAATATTCGTGAAAAAATGAAAATGTGAAAAAATGCTCATATTTATTTATTTAAAAAACCGAGCAAAGCGACAAGCGCCATGTGCACCATTGCAAACTTCCTGCATAACATAAAGCTTTTGAATAATATCATGGATGTTATTTATCCTTTAATTATTTAATCTCTTTTAAAAATAGGCAAGGATGGCGTAGAAATTACGTCGTTCGCCAGTATATTCAGCAGGGGCCAGTAAAAAAGTGATGCGTTCTTAGTATTGCATCTAGGTTTTAGGTTTTTAACAATTTTAGCCTATTAGGCCTTTCTGCGTTCGAATTTAACTATAACTAATTTAACCTAAAATTATAATATTTTGAGCAATTTGACATAACCATACAGAATTTTATATGCAAGAATTTAGTTAATTCTTGACTCAAGTAAGACTCAGGAAGGTTAAAAATGTTAGCCAATGATTTATTTATAAGTGTTTGGTGAAAACGGTTCTTCTAACAATACAAATGCAGGTGCGTGAGAGGTTTGGAAACTATTTGTTAAAAGTTTCACTTTGTCATTAATAAAATAGTGCTAAAGCTTTTCAGTTGGTTTTTGACTAGTAAACTAACAAATAAGAATTATATTTGAATCAAAGCTTAAGCTATAAGGTGCAAAACTAAATTTTCGACGATAAGACGAAACCGCAGATTTTTTACCTTTTTCCGAACTTATGGAATTTGCTTTTAAAGATTCATTAATTAACTGACCGTAACCATATTTAGAAAAAGTAATTTCTTGTGAAACGAACGAATGCTCTCAGAAATTTCCTTTAAATCGTTTACTGCTAATGAGCGAGTAGCGTTGTCCATTCTCCACTGACTCATTTCAACCCCAATTTCTGCCTGATCCTACTACCTGATCCTAGCAAGCAACGACACTACCCGAATCGGAAATGGTGATGATGGCCAAATGAACAGATTTTTCACCGCACTGCAAAAGAATTTTATATTAGAATTATATATTAGAATTAGAATTATATTAGAATTATATATTAGAATTTTCAAAATTGCAGTAATGAAAAAAATTTTATTGGAGAAATTTTATAAATTTATAAATTTTAAGATATTATGAAAGGATCAATCGTTACATTTTATATTTCTGTTTAATTTATTCTTTTTCAAAATAATTTCTAAAATATTTTTAAAAAAATATTTTAGAAATGAAAAACCTGAGAAAAAGAATATTTTCCAAAGGAAAAACGATAAGACTGATAGCAACTGATAAAATTTCAATTCTTAATTTTTTGGTTTTTTTTCGCTTATTAAAAAAAAATTATTAATTCTAATAAAATATCCGCAAAGAAAGATAAATTAAAAATAATGAGGCTTTAAATGAATAAAAGAATAGAGATTTGTTGATTTTACAGTTCTCGAAAAATATTTAAAACGTTTCAAATTAAAATATAAAAATAAAAATAAAATAAAAATAAAAATTTTGGACAAACGAGGTTTTCAACTGACATTTACTTCTCATTCAGGGAAAGTGGTCGGAAAGATAGAACAAAAAAATTTCCTGAAGCAATTTCCTTTAATTTTTCCGTAATATTAAAAAATTATAACAATGAGAAGTTACGATCGAAAAATCTAAAAAACCAAAAGCGTTATTTTCTATTCAACCATATGTAACACACTTTGGATGAATCAACCTACGCAAAAGTAGCGGGGAAGGGGGAGAAGGGGGACAATATCACAGCCACAGCCTATTGATAACGCCCCATTAATATCACAAAACACTCGCAAAATCTCAGTAAATAGGATCGTAGCAATCAAACCGATGACTGCATAAATCAGTTCATTTTTATAATTTCGATTTGCAACGTCTTAAAATTTTTGGGAACTGTAAAATCAACAAATCTCTGTATTCTTATATCGATTTAAAGCCTCATTATTTTTAATTATATCTTTCTTTTGCGGAAATCTCATTAGTATTAATAATCTTTTTTAATAGGCAAAAAAACTAAAAAGTTAAAATTTTATCAATTGTTATGTTTTTTCGACTTTTCCTTTGGAAAATATTCTTTTTCTCAGGCTTTTCGCTATGAAAAATAAGGATAAATTGAAGAGGAAGTGTAAAAAGCAACAGCAGAGGTGCGAGGTGGTTTTTTTACAGAATTTTTTAATGTATTCTGATTAACCTTTAAAATATTTCAAAACTGATAAATGCAATAACTACTGATGTATGATGGATTCGAATTTGGAGGACTTATTTTACGTTTCCTTTCTTTCAAGATATATATGTTAATAAATACTAAAATAAGCAATATGAGCAATGAATATTCTTTTATTTTATTTTTCATATTTCTCTTTAGTTTTGGATTTATTTAATAACTGTCGCTGAAAGGCGAAAAAAGCTGTAAATTTGAGCAAGTCATCCGGATTCCCGCCCATCTTAAATTAAATATAAACTCCCAAAAGATCAATTTTGGTCATTTTGTGCTTTTATTAAGAGAAAACGAGTGGGGGAGCGGTCGGTAAGTGATCGGTATTTAAGTTTCATATTTGACTTTTTACAGTAATTAACAATTTATGTTCAACTTTTTTTTTTCTCATTAATGTTACGATCTCTTTCCGTGACACGAGTAAATCCGCCATGACCCGAAAGTAGGTACCATTTGCAATTCTATCCTTAAATGAGGCAAAAAATTGTCTCATCCTGATAGCCAGTGGAATGAGTCTAATCAGCAACAATAACAGCAAAAAAAGAATAACAAAATAAAAAATCATAAAAAAATAAAAGATTAATAATTCAGCATAAGAATAGAAAGAAGAAGAATCCACTTCGAAGAAAGGTCTCATTTGTTATAAGTATCTGCAAAAAATTCAAAATAAGAAGTTATAAGAAATTGAGAAAATCAGTCGCTAACATCGTGCTAACTCTTGGTCGGGCATGCTTATCGGCGTTGGTACTCTTACCTGGTCAACAATCCGCTCAGCCATTCTAAACTTCTTTGCTTTCTGCATTAGACAATATTGCAACCCAAAGAAGTGTGGTACCACCTGTCAAACTCGAGTCGGAATCTCGATACTCCATGGGAATTATCTCGGCATCGAGCTGCTCAATATTGGTTGAGTGGAAAATAATGTTTTATTATTTTTGTTATCAATAATATTTTCGCTTATTGGCACGCTATCACGAAAATTTTATTAGAAATAAAATTTAACATTTCAAACAATGTATCAAAAAAAATGAAGGCAAACAAACTTCATTTATGCTAGGATTTTGCTGCGAACAAAAAACTGGAATAAAATCCACGTTGCCTGCAATTACGGACGGTGTGTCTATAGGATTTTAGGATTTATAGGACTCTACTATAGGATTTTCATGGTGAGAAAAGGATATCTCTTATAATATGAAAAGAAATAGTTGTATATATTTACACTGCAGGCATGAAAACGAAAATCCTGGCCATTCGTCCTTCATATTTCTATCGTCGTTCAACTCTATCGATAAGCCTAACTGGAATTCGGTGAGTGCTTTTAGAAATTTATTTGAAAATAACCAGACACACAGTCATATATTTCTATTTATTTCAATGTATAATGAATAAAATGACTTTTGAGAAAAAACTGATACAAATAAGAAAAAAAACACCATTTAGGCGATTTCAAGGTTAAATCGAGAAGAAAACGCCTAAAACATAAAAGTTCCTTGCATTATAACGACATAGAAAATGCAAATCCTAAATATGGAAGTGCACGAATTATCGAATACCTTCCAATTTGATTCTCTTCAGACTGCGGTCGCAAATTGGTTATTAAAAAGTTGGTGAAATCTATATATTTATTTGACTTCACAAAAAAAACTTCCAAATGTAATGAATATTAATAACCCGCGCACGAAGTCTTCCTAGTTAATTAATTCGGCGAACAAGCGCACCGATCTTTTCGAATGTTTTAATAATTTTTTAAAACTATAATGGTGAATATATAATGGTGAAACTATAATGATTGACTTTTAGAAAAAATTTTTATAAAATTAAAAAAAAACTTTACGTTTTAAATAACTCGAAGAAACCTTTTAACAGATTTACTGCAGTTTAATCACAAATTTACGATTTGTTATAAAATAATAACAAAAATAAAAATAAGCAATTCTAAGTAAAGTAAATAAAAAGAAAATAATGCTGCATTTTTTAAACTATTACTCGTTAAACTCGCTCCTTGTCATTCTAAACATACTGGGAAGTTCCTTAGCGATTGAAATAAAGGCGAGTCGCCAGCATCAGCCGAGTCGAATGATTGAAAGTCGAATGATTGCTAATTAAAGAATGCTAATTATCTAATAAAACAGCAAATATTGTTGGAGGAAGCGAATTATAGAGCGAGAATACAGATAAATTTCAAGCCGACAATGATCGAGTTCAATAGGCTACAAGGAGCCATAATTTTGGCATTAACCGTCGATGCTTTTTACTGCCCAAAATTCTACAGCAGTAAGATGTATTTTGCGCAGTGAATATCTGTTCTCAATTTTCAATTAATAAATATATATTATGAAGATAACTAAGAATTTAGAAAATTTTCAGTTCAATTTTCAGTTGAAAAAACAATACTTGTATTTTATTAATTCTAGCGGAAAAAGACCAATATTCACAACATATTTCTAATCGAAAAGAGTAGAATAACAATTTAAACATCGCTTATATTACTCGCTGAAAAATACCTGTTTAAAATATTTGTAATTCATTGCCTATCTAAACAGTAAAGAAATATTAATAATTCCTAATAATATTAAGAAAGTTATTGGTTATTTTAAACATATTGATAGGAAGCATTAATATCTTGGAAAATAAATCTAAGATTAAAAATTAAGCTGCCTTACAGAAAAAATCCTTCAAAGTTTTTGCCTGAGAAGCTTTTTCCGATAAATCACCCGTTCTACATAAATCTTGGTAATATCTGAAAGTCACTGGATGACAGAAACCTAACTCGATACGCGAAATAAAATCCATATCTTTAGAATCCATATCTGTCGGAGGATTGCTCTCCAGCACCAATCGATAATCTTGGGACTTTTGTCTTTCATTGTTTGAAAAATTAGGCAACCTGAATATTAGAAAGTTGAGACGTAAATATTTTATAGAGAAAAGGTAATAAATTCGCAAAAATCTATTGTGTATTACAATGATACAACCGGTCCCTGCATATTTTATTGATGAGATTATTTTGCCCTTATTCGATAGAATCAAAAATCTTATGCAAAAGAATACGTTTCTATTTCTGCAAATCGCCTCCTTTTTGCCAGCGTTGTGCAGTTTTTCATGATAGCTTTTAACTGATCGATTTCTTTTACAAAATCAGGAAGATTACCAGTCGGGGAGCTGGAATAAAGCAAATCTGAATATGCAAAGAAATATGTAATAATTTTTCAAAATTTTCTAAAAAAAATTCAGTGACTTGATATTATTCAAACGTACAGTGATACTATCAGAAATAAAGATATTTATTTTTTATTTATTATTATAATTATTATTAAGTACATTTAGTTTTGAATACACTCAATCACTAAATAGTAAGAAAATAAAATTGATTTCCCCAATTTATTTCGGAAAGAGGAATTAATTACAAGTAAAGAAGGTCTCTAAAATTTGAGATATTGTATTATTAAACTTAATTTTAACTATGAATGACATCCTGAAACAGGCAAAGTAGCAGTATCAGCATATTAAAGGAAAATAGTTCTAAAATAACGACATGATGAAGAATGCAGCTTGAATGAGTCAAGATTTAGGACACTATTTAACCTGCTAATAGCATTATCATGCTACTTTTGGTCCAACTGTGCAAGTAAACAAAATTTTAGGAAAGCAGAAAAAAAACAGGAAAGGAAATTATTTTACAATATATTTAAAATATATATTTACTTAGAATTGAAAGCACAATATCTCTTCATTGTTTCATGGAAATGTTTACGCTTTAATGCTTTTACCGTTAATGGTAGATTGCCGAAACTTTTGAGTGGTGACAAAGGCAAAGAAACGCTGTAAACATATATTAATTTATTTTACTCATTTCATTTGAAAAAATCAAATAACATTGTTTGATTGGTGACTGAAAACAACTCTTAGAAAAATGAGTCAAAAACAGATGGTGAAGTGAATGCTTAAAAAAGATAGAAAACTTTACCTCGAAAAATTTTTGCCCGAAGTATTACTATTACTATTACCATATGATTTATTCTGAGCATCAGAATCACTGCAATCATTGCAAAATTTAGCAGAGTCGCTCGCGAAAGATCTCGACAAATTTCCTTCCGAATCGCTTATGAAAATATCATCGAGTGATGCTAATTGTTCATTTAATATTTTTTCACTGAAAAAAAAAATTAAGTTCGCTTAAAATTCAATATTCAAAATTCAAAAAGATTCAATAAAAATAAGGAAATTTCCGAAAACCTTTGGCTCCTAAATAATTTATAATTAGAAGGATGTTTTGTGATATTTTTTGAATTTTTTTGGAACTTTAATTTTTGAAATTCTTGATTTGCAAAAAATTGAGATAAAAAATATCATTTTCATTCATATTCAATACATATTAAAAAATGATGTTTAAATAATACTAAAAACAACAAACAACAACTTTAAAGACATTCTGGCAGTAGTTTCATCGAAGGCAATTGCTTTGGAAAAACCAGATATCATATTATTATGTTCGATGCTATCATCAAAAGGCACTGCTGGTTGATGCCAGTATCGAAGACCATCGCTTGCGATAGTAGCAACAAAATTATCTTGACAACTAATTGCACCCATCATCACCTAAATCTCATAATTCATCATAGAATATTATAAAAAACAATTCAAGAATCTTTTTTACAGAAACTTCAAAAATAATAATAAAGGAATGAAAAAAATCGGCAACGTTTACTTCATCTGAATGACCACCGAAGACAAAGCATGGATATTTTGTTGAAATATGACTCCGCTGACTATAACATCGTCTCTTCTATAACGAAAAATGTTATTGGAATGATAGTTAATATCAAAAAAAAAATCAAGTTGCGAAATTATTAAATTCAAAATCTTTTGTCTCGTTATTTCGATATTTGAAAGGATAACAAAGAAAAATAGTCTCTTTTATAGAAGTTTCAACAATAATAGAAAGGGAATAAAATTGCCTACTTGCAAATCCCAAATATGAGCTTCATGCTTTTCATTGCCAAAAATAAGGTAATTTGAAGAAGCAGATATATTTAAACGTGATGCAAATACGCTGTTGTGAGATCTTTTACCACCGCGTAAAAAATCGACTTAAAATTTCAATTAAAGAATAGGCAAGGAAATTATAATAAAATATTCTTTGCATAAATAATATTTTTTATTTATCCCCTATTTGAAAACTTAAAGACAAAAAATACGGAAAGATCCAAAATCATATAGTAAATTATGGAAAAAACCTGGTTTATTCTTCGATGATGAAATTATATATTCGTAAATTAGTGAATCCGTCGATGCAGCAAAAAGAACATGACTGTAACGATCGACACAAAGTGATATTATACCTTAAAAAAAAGCAATTCTTTCGACTGTGTGAGAGTAATGATTTTCATAACATGGAATTTTCGTCAAAATCATTTGTTGTGTAAAAATTCAATAATCCGGAAATGAAAAAATATAAAATCAATTTTCTAAAACTTTTTTCAGAAATATTTTTACCATAATCACGTTTGTGTTCACCATCAGGCTTCTCAAGCACACGCAAAGGATATTTTCGACCAAAATATCGAATATCCCAAAGTCGAATCCCACTGAATACAAAAAATAAAATCGAAAAAATATTTGTGACATAAGGAACCAAATATTAAAAGTTGCATTTAAGAAAATTTTACGCATTAAAAGAGTTAGTAGACGACGCCAAAATAAATTCATCGATATAAACAAGCGACGTGACACCCTTCTTCGTGGACATATCCAGATTTTCTGATGACCTGCCTGACTTATCTAAATTATATCATAATACACTGAATTAACTTGGAGAAGATTTCAGTAATTATTATTTACGAGAATGGAAATAATACTGCCTAAACTATAGAAATGGTTAATTGTATGAAAAAGTGCATGATGTACCCGCAATAAGACTGGTGAGATCAAGGTAATTTTTAAAAATCGACTGATAATGGTAAATTCTTTGAAAAAGCATTAAAAATAAGAGCGAAACTGACGAAAATGAGTATCAATCACATTATAAAGACTGGCACCAAAGGATGATGGATTCCTTTCACGATTATCCCATAGATATATTTTGCCTTCACGCGAAGCTGTTGAAAAAACATCTAGAAGCAAAAAATAGAGATGATATTAAAAAATCAATGGTTAACAATGGTTAAACAATTTATTTATAAATAAATTTTATAATCACCAGATTTCATTTCTTCATGTCCGCTTCAATCAAAGAATCAAGTCGCGAGAAAGAAATATTCATTACTACGCTGATTATTTAACCGACATATAGCTGACCCCCTCTTTGGCAACGGAAAGTCTGGAAATACTAAACTGTGGTTTCCGTCATAAAAAAAATTGTACCACATAAAACAAATTTTACTGAATACTTACGAGGACAAAAGTCACACAGAGCTAGGGCGCGTACTGAGCCTTGATGACCGCGATATTCTCTCACAACGCGTTGAAGACTGACATCCCACAGATTAATAGCTGAATGGCCCGAAATTGAAACCAAATTATTAATATTCTGCGGAACGAAGCCCACGTCTAATACACAGCCATAGCAATCGGGATTGCGAGACGGTACTAAATTAAATAATTAACTTATTTATTTTTATTAAAAAAAATCCTATTTTTTTTAAAGAACATAAAGAAAAAAATCGCTGAAGGAATTTCCTTTAATTTTTCCATAATATTAAGAATTAAATGTTCCGTAATATAATATTAAAAGGAAAAACTATAACAATCAAAGGTAGTCATCGAAAACTTTAAAAAACCAAAGGTGTTATCTTACCATATTCTACCATATGGAACACACTTTAAATAAATCAACCTAGAACCAGTACAGAAAAAGCAATAAACTGTAGGTGTAAATACAGTATAAACATAATGGAGTAGGGAGATAAAAGCACAGCCACAGTCTATCGATAAAATCCTATTATAATCTACACTCACAAAATTCCCATAATCCTCTTTGACATCCTATCAGATCGTACCATGTGCCACCTTTAAAATAAAATAATATTCCCACAAACTACTTTGATTGCACTACTTTGATTGTCGGAATCCCCGTAATGTTACGGCGACCTGGAATATCGCGGTATTGAAATCTTCTTGACCAAATGATATTTGTCCGTGCATTATCTCGAATATATTAATATCAAATATATTAAAATTCTTTGATATCCTACTGTGTTCAATGAAATTTGACCCAAATACTGTTAAGCTTTCCCTTAACCCTCTTCCAAAGTCTAATTATATTCAGGTTGCTAAACCTAGTTAACCAGTACACACCCTTTCTGTATGCTTAACATCAAATTTCGTAGTGCAATCTGAGGGATTACAAATTATAAAACTGTAAAGGCTAGCACCATGATGACTGGCATTATTGAAAAAAATTATAAGGGTTTAGGAAATGCAATGGAATATAATGGGTTTTGACGAGAACATTGAGAGATATGCCAAGAGAATCCTATATGAAAAGAATACTGCCTATATTTAGAACAAGTTCCTTTACTGATATTTATAAAAGGAATTACCACTGAAGCTGACTGAGAAATTATCGAAATTCATTAAAATGATTTCACCACTTTCAGTCCCAACAACAGATAACCTTTCATTATTGAAATCTTTAGCAAACTGAACAGTAGACCATGCATCACTGTTATTCTAAAAGAGAAAACAATAAAAGAAAAATCTATTTGTCAAAAAGTTTACATTGTCTCAAGCAAAGCTTTTTTGGCCTGATTTTGAGCGACCAATTTTATTAACACTGAAAGAATATTAAAAGAAACGTACCAAATCCATGGATGCTGTTGATATAAAACTCAAAAAATACGATTCGGGTATAGATAAACGACCATATTTCCTCATTAAAATTTCACGAACAGCCATAGATTACCGCAAATTTATCTATAAAAAAAAATTGAACAATCAAATACTTTTAGCACTTGTAAAGGTATCGGCGCATAGAATCGACAATAGGTTTGCTAAGTATTTCATTCTTGTTGCCTCTATAAGTCGGTAGCAGCCGAGATTTTTCCACTTACAACATCAAATGAATAAATATCGTTGGTTTTACTGATCAATCTTAAGATAGCCTTTTCACCACGGAAAATAAGAATTATAGGTGGGTTTTTGGTGCCATAAAAACAAATTAGGCAAAATCGGCAAAAAAATAAAAATTTCTTGAAAATATATCCTCCACCTAAGCGCTCATTCTTTTTGCATTCATAGTTCCTCAATTGCTCTTCTTTTAAATAAAAAAGGATTTTGAAGAGAGTAGCGAAAGAGAAGATAACTGAGCAAAGCAATGCAGGCTCTTTCAAAATGAGACAGTCCACTGCTAGTGATTAATGGCATCTGACTGTTCCATTTATCATTCCATTTATCATCATTATATGAATAATGGAAGGCAGTCCTTTCGCCTACTCATTTGTTCTATTTCGTTAAAGTTCGCTACTGCAATTTTTAAAATACTTCTTCCTCCACTCTCCACCGTCTATAACCTCGAATATAAGCAAATAGCAAATTCATCGCACCCATACAAGCAGAAAAATTTTACTACATACTGAACAATAGGATTAGAGAAGGTAAAAATTTTAAGAGATAACTCGCATAATCGTAACATGACCTTGAAAGACATATATGACCTTTGACATATATGAGCAGTACCAATGACACTTCTTAAACACTTCTAAAAAATGAACCAAAAAAAAACAAATCAAATTTACCGCTATTGGTTTCGACATCTTCTGAGGCTGAAGCCGAAAAAGCTGAAGCCGAAACTGTATAATAAGTAAAGCTAAAACTCGCACGCCTTACTTAACTATATAATATCGTTTTAATCGATTGTTTTTTTTAAAAATCTAAAAGTCGGAGGACTCCTGCAACTGTTATCTTGGAAGGTCTTTTCATAGAGTATTTTTTAAAATATTTTCTGAACGTAGAAGTGGTGTGAAGGTTCTTTTTTTTTTAGAGGAGAATTTGCTAAATTTTATGTAAAATTCAAAATAAAAATTCAGAGTCTATTATTTCGGATTTTTTTTTTATTAATTTTTTTGGATTTTTGTTTTTTTTATATTTTTTTGTAAATTAATTATTTATATATTTATAAATTTAGATATGTAAAAGAGAGTAGAATGGCTGAGTGGGTTATACTGTTGGCTTCGGAGCGCCGAGGCTGAGGTTCCACTCTCAATGGGAGTAAACTTGTTCAAAAATCCGAGTGACGCTAGCGACTCACTCACTCGTCAAGAGAGTTCATGCCACATTTGTCCAGTTCAATAAGCTAGCGGAGCGAGTCTAATCAGTAAAAGTGAAGGCTCCTAAAAAAAGAAAAAACATATGTGAAAGGATTCAAAATGAAAAAGAAATGCGACATTTGGGTGACACTGTCTATTTTTTATTAGCACATCGAGTGAAGCAAATGAAGTATTCAAATTGTCAACTGGTTTCAATGTGAAAGGTAGAAAAATCATTGCGACAATTGCTCCTTAAGGTGATGCTACAAGATATCGAGTAAGTAATGTGCTCGTTTATAATTTACAAATATTAAAGTCATTTTTATCTGCTCTTTCTTCCAGAATCTTCCAGAATCTAAATTTTTGATTCCACAGATTCTACTCTCTAATCTATACTCGGTGGTAGAAGTGCATATTGGTTCATGTCAACTTTATGATATTTTATTTTCTCCCTTTGCAAATATAAAATTTAATTGTTTTTTTGTCCTCCCATAGCTTTTATTTTATAGTTTATTTCCAATGAAAATCGTCAACACAACTTTTAATTTGTAAGATAATAAATTAATAAAATTAATTAATAAAATTAAATAAATTTAGATCAATAAAATTAAATAAAATTTGTCAAAAATATCTCAAAATTGGATGATGTATTTGTTACTTGGGTTTTTCTTTTGGTACCATGAAGGTCTGGCTGAAAATTTTCAGAAATTTTATCTTAATACCTTAATAATATCTTAAATTTTATCTTAATTTTCAGAAATTTTATCTTAATACAAACCCATCGAGTATAAGAAATATTTGGCTAAAAAAAATTATTGCTCCAACTGATTACGACTGTGATTACGATATGATAAATGAAGCTAAGAATATAAGTTGTTAGTCATGTGGTTAATGTTAATGAAAAAACTGAATTATTGCTGGAGCAAGGAACTGCCTGTAAGTTTTTTTTTTTTCATTATTTCTGTCTAATTATTATATAAGATTTTTCTATTTTTTAACTGTTTTTTCAGCAGTTTAAAATCAAAAACTTTAATATTTTTTTTTATAGTTTTAGGCTCGACCGGCACTTATTGTTAAATGCTAAGTGTGAATTTATGCTTGGCCAGTAAAAATATTATAAGTATTAGTAGCAATAAGGATATTTTTCTTTTTTTTTATGTTTTCATTTGATTTCATTTCTCTTCCAATAAACAATAAACAATTCTTTCACATATGAAAAAAATGGTGAAAGCTTTTGTTATCAGTATAGGTGAATCGGTTCTTAAGAAATTCCAGTCACCATAAATAAATTAGTTTTCTAATTTTCAAGCAAGGCAATTTAGAAAACATTTTGTTTATGATCCTCATATGAATTTGAACGCAAACGATGTTGCTGTTATATATTCGTGAATTCACCGGTCACCGGAGGCGAAAATTTGTCCATTTTTTTGTCATCCTCTAATGAACGAATAAGCAGATTTTTAGTTATATCTTTATATTAGCAGTGGCTTGCGATGCTGCTTATACTGATGGTATTTTTAACGATAAGAAAAATTGTAAATTGTTTTGGAAGAAAAAATCGTTAAATTATAAATTGTGAAAGGTTTTCATTCAGTCTGATGCTATTTTCTGCTATCTTGGAAGGTCTTTTCATAGAGCGTTTTTTAAAATATTTTCTGAATGAAACGTAGAAGCGCTGTGAAGGTTCTTTTTTTTTTCTTCTCCATTACTACTTCAGTTGGCTTCATTTACTACAAGGGTCAAAGCATTTCCTATCAATACGATGATATATCCGAAGCCATTCATTCCATCGCATATCTTTAGGCCTATCTCTTTCGATCTCTTCTGACAAGTCCACATAACATCTTTCTTTGGTTCTCACATTTCGTGTTATCATAAGATTTAGAGTTCTGGAGGCAAGAAGAGTATCAACTATTGGGTATTGCTAACAAAATAATCTAGCTGTTGCATTTTTAGGGTTCCGTCAATTATTGGAATGCACTTAGCAAGGAATGGTAATAAGTTTGTCATCCTTTATTTTTCTTGGTTATGTTTCTCAGCCGTACAAAACGGAACTAGGCATACTGCGACTTAGGTCCGAACTTTCATTCTGTGTTCGTTTAGTCGCAAAATTTTATCAAATTTGAAATGATATTTAGAATGAATTAAAAATATATGTATAATCGAATTTAGTATTTAATTTATTTTATATTTAATTTATTTTTTTCGCTGTAAGAAGTATTTCTTGTTAAGAAGTTTAATGATTCAAAAAATAATTTTAATACTGGAAAAGTAGTAGAAATTCTGATGCAAATAGTTTAAATTCTGATGGACAAGAAAAACATTTTCTTTTCAGAAATATTTCTTTAAACAAAACATTCTTAAAACATCTGATGACTTTTCGAAGATTTTTATATGGGAATGATGTGCTATGTTCCTTTCAAAGACCTGATCAATTGACATTTATTTAATTTATTTATTTTTCTAATACGATTTTATTCACTTTCTGATTTAATAAATGGATTTTTATTTATCAGTATAGCGCTATGATTAACCAAAACTAGAGTTGTTTCTTTTTAAATGATTTTCGAGAAATAGCACATCTCGTGCGACATGTATTAATTGCCCAATGCTTTTTCAAGTTCTATGTGTGATGAGATAGATTTATATAAGGGAAATGTGAAATGGGAATCCATCTTACTTATTATTTTATAGCGGCAGTATTTTTCATATTTTTTGGCTTAAAGTTATTGACGTAAAATTTTCTATTTTCTCATCTAATAATTATAACTCGAATGCAGTGTTCTAAACAAAAAAAACTAAGAAAGCATATAAAAGTATATAAAAATTTATGCCATCTTAAGAACATTTCGAAAAGAATTTTTAAAATAGAATTTTATTATTAAAAAATAAGATTTTTAATAATAAAAAAACTAATTTTATTAATTTTAGTTTGTTTTACAGGCTTTTTTTTGATGCCTTGATAGAATATTGCCGTAGATGATGCAATAAAAGCGCTTGGAAGGAAACTGGAAATTTTTTGATGTTGAATGTTTTGATCATTTAAAAAAAATTGGTTTTCCACATCAATTTTTTCACATGAATGATGTCGTTCTAAGAAATCGTCCGAGATATTTTCATTTCCATTTCAATTGATGATAAATTTTCTTCTATCGCAAATCATGTTTGATCACGTTATATTTTGTATTTGAAATTTTTTTATTTTCCATTTTTATAATTTTTTTTTTTTTGAATGAATATTTTGTTTAAATTTTATGAAATAAAATCAAATTTAGAAAATTCTATAAACAAATCATTTTAGAAAATAAACAAACAATTTTTTTTCTTCGAGAAATTCAAATCCAAATGATATTTAACACTTTTTTAATATTGATAAGCCTTATAATAGAAAAAAAGAAACATAAAAAGTCATATTTAATATTTATGAATAAATATATATGTAAATAACTATTTTAAAAGTTAAATTATGAAGAATCTTTCTGCAAAACTTTATTTTATTTTAAATATAAAATAAATAAGTGTCAATAAAATAAGGTTCAACAAATAAACTCGATTCGAAACATTAAAATATACCAGTTTTTCCTAATAGAAAATTATTATAAAAATGATATTTGACGATTCTTTAACGTTAATGTTTCGATAAATTTTTATGCATTTTTTTTTAAAAAAATTAAAATTAAAATTGAAAAAATAAATAATTTCAATAAAAATGTGCATAACTATTATTTTTATAATAATAAATCTTGCTATAATCCGAAGCGTTACAACGTTTCAGCCTATTATAATTGCTAAACCAACGGGTAAATTTTTAATTAATTTCATAAAAATCATTTTCAATCATTTATCTCTATTAATTGTAAATTTTTATTCTAAAAAAAATTATAGCAAATTTATTCAGGGAGCTCTTTTTTTTTTCTTGAATAATCAATTTTCGATAATAAAAAAAATTAAATTTTTTATCATTATAAATTTCTTATCAAAAATCGTTATTCTTTTTTTTTAGCTATAATTAGAAGGATCAATAAGATAGAAAATCGTTATATCAAATCGATATGTGGAAAAATTGATGTTGGTACTTCAGTTGTAATCATAAATGATCCATCTATAATGCAATTAATTAAAAGAATTATAATAATATTCATTCAAATAAATATGTATGATAAAATAAAATTTTGGTTGAAATTTTTTTCAGAAACAAAATGAAACAATTTTTCGTTATCCTTGGGCGGCTTCAGTCACCAAAAATGTATGTATGTATGTATATATACATATCAAATAATAAGTAAATAAGCGAAAAAAATAAAGGGAAAAAAATGAGGAATTAATAGTGAAAAAAGAGATAGCTAGGAAAGCTAATTCGTTCTCGAATCATGCTATTGGAACTCTAATATTAGACCTTTCAGACTATTTTAATAAATATGCGTTAACAGCTATGGTGCCATCAAACATTAAAGGTTCGAATCCACGTTTCAGGGTAAAAATCGCCAAGGTGCAACTATTATATCAAATTTTCATTTATTAACCGCTGCACATCCTTTTATCAAATTTACAAGTTCGAACACAACGAGTTGCTTGTGCGCGCTTTTCCATATATCAAAAAATATCGATATTTTAAATATTTCAATATTTATCAGTAATTTATATTATTTATATTTATCAATAATTTTTGTATATATCATAATTTATATTATCAATGTTTATCATTATCAGTAATATCAATATTTAACAAAAATCTCAGTATTTTATGAGTGTTATTTTTATTTCTCGGTTTTCCTTAATATTTTTTTTAAATTTTAAATTTGATACTCTGAACAAAAATAGGAAAAACATAGCAAGAATATAAAAAGGCGAGAAAAATATGATTATGGTTAAGGGATAATGGTTACTACGAATTAAGTGATATAGAACAATGGACGGTTGTGTATGGCGGAGTTTGCATAAGAGGAAATTCTTCCAGCCATCGGAATGATCCATTATGCATCATTCCTGATATTGAAAAGAACGAGGTACTATACTAGTACTAGTATTATTTATTATTATTTGAAATCGACTATAAACTAATTGTAAAGGCATGAAATTTAAATTACTTTAGAGTTAAACTAGAGAAAGAAAATTTTCTACCGTATATTTATTTTTTATTTTAAAAATTTTAAAATTTATAAATTATTCAACAACTCGAAATTATTAGTAAATTCATTAATTATTATAAAATATTAATATATATATATATATTAATAAATATTAATAAATATTTTGTGATAATTAAAGATTTTTTTTTTTTTTCTATTAGATGAAATTATTGAGAGAATTTTATAGATTCGATCCGTAATTCTGGACGCTGCTTTTCTGCGATACAATTGTAAACTTGGCCATGATTGGGCAATTATCGAAGTGAAACGACCAATACTTTTTTCTAGAACAATCAAACCTATTTGTTTACCAAAACCAAATCAAGAAATCAATGAACTTTTAATAGTTTTTGGATGGGGGCGGCAAAACGGCAAGTATCACTGTTTCATTATCAAATAACAAATATTCATATAAATTTTACACAATTCTTTTTAGTTTATAGTTTGTCTAGAGAATTATCAGCAATATTAGCATATTATCATTTTAACATATTATCAGCTCATATTATCAACTACAGTATTCATCGAAGCTAGTCCTCATTTAAATGAAATACCAATGCGATACGATCCGAAATGTGAAGCACCATATAGCGATAAAATGCCAACCGAAGTCGAGGACTATATTTGCGCTAAAACTATGGATATTAACGATTATTCGCTTCCACGAATTTGCTATGTTTATTTTTTCTTTTTTCTGAAAATTTTTTATAGCATAATTGAATAGTCTTCATTAAACAGATCCTCATTATCAATAATATCTATGTAAACTTCGATAAAAATCCTTTTTGAATCATTCTGTTCTGTTCTGATGAACTTTCCGAATAGTCCACTGAGGAGGGAGGGAGGGGGGGGGGTGTAGGAAGTGGGGATATATGGAAATTAAAAAAGATATCCGCTGTGATGCGTTATGTAGATAATCTAAATTATGTTTAAATTATTCAGAATTAGGCGTTTCAAAAGTGTAAGCCACTGATTTCATGATATCATATCAGGCCACTTAAACAATTGTTTAGATTATATCTGGTTCTGGCTTTGATTATTAGTAAAGAAAAAAATTATTACCAGGGAATGTTTGGAGATAAAAGTAGAAATAAATTTTCTAGCGCTTTTCTGATTTTTAAAATGATAGGTTAATTTTTGTTTGGGGTAGCGTAGGAATCCTAAAATTCAAGATGATAATCTGAGCAATCTGAGCAATAACCATCGTGTTTCTTGACCTCATTAATTATTTAAGCAATTTGAATCGTTATTTTTAGTTTTATAAATCTTACCAAACTGCCAATCTTAGGGACAAAGTGGTTCTGGAATGCAACAAAGAGATAGCAATGGTTTTGCTCGATTGATTGGAATCACATCTTATGGTTCAGTTGGATGTCCACCTAATGAATTGGCCAGATTCACGAGAGTTGATCATTATCTAAGCGAAATTTGTATGGCAACTGGAGTATGTGATGCTTTTTAAGATTTTTACCAGTGCTTAAATGAAAAAAATTATTATGTTTTTTTTTCACATAAATTTCTTAATTTTATGAAAATCTACAATTAATTAAAAATTTCCAAATCAGTTATTATCAATTATTATCAGTTCTAGCAGTTCGAGCAAATTTGCATGAGCTAATCGATGAATTTTAAAGAATTTTTAAAGATGACTAATAAAATATGATAAGATATGATGAAAATATCCTTTCTGACTAATAAAATATGATAAGATATGATGAAAATATCCTTTCATTCCTAGAACTTAAGCATAGCTTTATTCTTATCAAATATGTCAAATTGCGATTGTCAAATTGCGATCGCTATAATTTATTTTCTACAATCGTTATTTTTTCCTATATATTTCGCAAATAATATTTACACTGCACTATCAAATTTTGAAAATCGCAAAAATTCGAACTTCTTAATATGAACGAATATAAAATGAAGCAATGAATGAAAATTATAGCTTTTAGAGATATTTACTTAAAAAATTACCCCTAGAATAATACAAATATACAATTGATATTACGAAAAGTTGAAATCTATCAAATTTCTAATATGAAAAACTGAAAAACGCTATCGGTGAGAAGAGGAATTGTAAGTTGTATTTACAAAAAAAGAAGGTGAAGAAAATTTTCGCCTCAATTAATTTTGAAAAAAATTTAAAAAAAAGAAAACAAAAGCAAAAATTATCATGCATTTATTTATTAAACTATGCATTATCATGCATTATCAGCATTATTAGTTATCTATTTTTCTTCTATTAAAATTCCTTAAAATAAAGAAAAAAAATGAAACCAAAATGGTATTTTCTCTTAATATCGTTCTTCAATGATCTTTTTTTCTTTTTTTTTTTTGCTAGAATTGCATATGAATTTTATGATTTTCTCAGCATTTGCATAGAAATAAGAAAAGAAGAAAAATAAAATAAATTTTTCAGAAATTCACTGAAATAGAATCAAATCATTAAAAATACATTTAAAAATGTTAAATTTATTCTCATTTTGATAATTTTTTTCCTAAAATTTTTTTTTTTCTCATCCATATTAATTTATCAATTTGCTAAAAATCATTTTGAACTGGAAATTTAGAAAAATTTTCCAAAATATTTCACAAAATATTAATTTTCACTTGAAAAACGAAAATTTTCTTTTTGATATCGACGAAAAAATTTGGACAATTATTTTATCATTCTTAATTTTTGGCTTTTTTAATCTTTTAACCTATTGAATGAAATTTTATAGCCTAAGGTGTTCATATTTTCAAAGGAAATTCTCAATTTCAATATTATAGTGTTCGCCTCACACTTTTAGATCTCATCTGTATACTCATTTCTCTATCTTTATCAGCGCATCAAAACTATTCGCAGTTTTTTTTATTATTTTCGTAATTTTTTATTCAAATGGTATATAAAGAATTGGAAACACTATTACACTATAATGCCAATGCCAAAGTCGCAAGCTTTTTTTTTTTTTTTCATCATCTTTCAGTTTTAAGAAAACGAAATTTAACGAATTTAACTATTGTTGTTCTATGGCTTAGGGGAAAGAATATTTCGCTGATTTCAAAATAAAAATTTTCAATAAAAATAAGGAAAGTACCATCCAAATTTTTAATAATCGTGGGTAGTATTCGTAAAAATTAGAAATTTAGAAATTAGAGATTTAGTTGATATAGTTCAATTGGAATCCGATTTTTGTTATCAAATTATAAATAAAATATAATAATTGAATATAAAATAAATGTAAAAATATAAATAATAAAATAAAATTGAATTTTTGGGAGCGCTATTTCAAGAAAATGAGGCATTGCCTTAAGTTAAAATGTTAAACTGTTTTGCCTTGTTATATGTTATTTACGCTAATAATTTGTTACTATGCATTTTTAACGAATGCCTTAAAAATTTGAGGAAATTTCTCTTTAGAAATTATGATTTGTTATTGGTTTTTTTTGTAGAATAAATTTTCATTTATTATTTTAATAAATTTTTATAAAATCGAGCGATTCTCATATGGTAAATATTTTCAGAAATTTTATTAAACAATGAAACAAGCAAAATTTTATTTAATTTTATTCGACTTAATTTACTCAATTTCTTGTAAGTTAATTTGGTTTCTTTTTAATATTAATAAATAATATAATATTATTATATAATATAATAATATAATAAATAGCATAATATATAATAAATAATATTTATAATAATAAATTAATATTTATTAATTTTAATTGGAATAGTGAGTTGGTGAGGGATGGTAGGAGAGGGATTACGCTATGTGATCGAAAACTTTTATATTTTCGAAATTTCGAAATTGTAATAAGATTTTCTAAATTTTTTCAATATTTATATTTATACGATATTATTTTATTGTTTTCTTCTCTTTTTAGGTTCATCATGGTGTATTGATGAGCCGGCTTACAATCGCTTAGTTAAAGTTAGTCTCATCTCAAAAAAATTCCAATCGAAAATTCTTCATTTTTATTGATAAATGACGCTGATGATCTTGATAATATTCGTTCTACTTACATTAATAAATTTTTTTATTGAAAAATTAAATTTTTTAAATTATTCGGCATTTTTTAGAAAAAGGAATAAATAAAGATAGGCATCGACAAATTAAATCCTAAGAAGATACGTAATTAATAATTAAAATAGTAATTCCATTTCAAGGTATCATTCCTGGTTGAAATAAACCTGTCTTTGTAGTTAATATAATCGATCGGCCTATCACTAAGTAATTGCAATTCTCTAGCAAAATTTGTTCTGATTTAACAAATCAACGATTTTTTTCAGTATTATTATGATGAAAAATCAAATATGTGCCTCGCATTTCGTAGCGATTGCTTACAGTCGAAATTAATTCTTTATGATACATTAAAAGAATGTTCAACTTCCAGAATGCGTAAGTTGGATTTGTTGGGTTTTTTTTTTTTTTCTTTTCCAAGATTAAATTATGATATACTTGGTAATTGGCTATCTAATTTGTATTTGTTAGCAATTATACGAGACGAGAATATGAAGAAAGATAGAGTCGACAGCTGCAAATCGTAAAGGCTATTAAAATGAATTAAATACTTCAATAGTTGATCATTGGAAATTTGTCTTTTATATTTTTTTAGTCTTATATTTGAATATTTCGAATTCAGAGATTCAATAGATTTATGAAATAAAATAAATTAAATAATAAAAATGCATGTTCATTTTGAAGACTTAAATTTAAAAAATTTCATTTCGAAAAGATTTTTTTTTTCAAATGATAAAAAGACCGATAAGATTTGTTCGAGGTTTGTTTAGTTCTAAAAAATTCATTTTTCAGCGCATCATGCAAAAAAAATAACGTTATCTTGCGCGCAAAATCAGTATATTTTAAGTAGTTCCAATGATAATATACCGATTCCTTACGTATTTAGTAGTATCTATTGTCAAAATGATGGAAAATCGGAATTCTGCTCACATATTGATGGCGAATATTGTCATAGCTTTAAGCCATATGCGTATTGTTGTGTCGATAATATTAATGGTGAAACTAAATATGCAGGTAAAATATTTTTTTTTTTCTTTTTCGTATAAATAATTTTTAATATTTTATGATAATTATAATAGTAAAATTTATGCTAAAATAATTTATTAAAAAGATTATTAAGAATAAAAAATGGTAAATTTATCGAAAACATTTCAGTACGTTCGAGTTTCGTTGTGACTGGAATCACGAATTTCACGTTTCGTAAGCTTTCGTCTCTTTTTCGATAGTTCAACTAGTTTAACGTAAACGAAGAACGGAAAAAAACTACTTATTTTTTTTCGAGCATAGCTATAGTTTAAAAATATAAATATGAAATTTTATGGAAATAGATGTTTGAAAATTCGGAAATTCTCTAAAACACTTAGACCATTCATTTTCTCTAATTATGAACTTTTTTTGCAAATTTAAATAATAGCGAATTGTTTTGGCCAATAGATTGGGCCTTAAGCTATGCAATTGGCTTCGCTTAGAAACTCAAAATTATGTAATACCTTTTTATATATAGCATTTATTGTTCTTGGTTAGCTTCGTCAAATAAGGATATCTTTTTGCCAAAGAGTTGCGGCTAGAATTAAAAGTAGATCTTCAATATCGCCTGAATTTGGCCTTTAATGAAACGTGTACACTCGAGATGCACGAGTCGAAACATATTACTTGAACTAATAGTTCAAGCGATATACAGTCGATCAAATTCCGTCACCAAATAACTATAACCAGAAAGCAATATTAAATCCAAATTTATCCTATAAAGGCTTCAAAAAATTTTGCGGACATTCAGTTTTAGAGCAAGAAAGTGAATTCCCGAAACCTGCACCAGTTAATTGCAATTTAGATGGCAAACGAACGGGAATCGAGGTGATAGATTTATTTATTTATTTATATTTGTGTTTGTCGAAAAAAAAAAAGATGCCTGTAGGATATATAAATAATAATATTATTAAGTGTATATGAAAAAGCATCGATTTCCTCCACAAAACTCGGTCCACATCTGATGTTCCACTTTACTTTGATTTTTCATTAATGTCCTCTGGACTACAGTTTTTAAAATCTTTCTGATCTCGACACCTTTTTTACATTCCTCAAAGGTAAGCTAATTTTCCTTTAATGCTCAATTAAACCCCGTTACACTATTTCGTCGCCTCATCATTACCTTACCTTAAGCATCATTATACTATCTTAATCGTTTGACACCTCAAAAGGCTCCTCAGAATTTATTATAGCTCTTCATTCCATCTAAATCCCCTAAATCCTTTCTAATACTCTATATCATACTATACTATATTATAGCCACTGTTAAAAGTGAATGACATCTCTTAAAACTCTCTTATGCAATTAATTTCAGACCCATATGGCACTACTGCTATTCTTTGAAAAACAATCATCGCACCTGGTCTGCCATGTTGGCTTCGTTTAACATCCCTAATAGTCTCTTATAATTCGTGAAAATCTTCCTAAATTCCGTTATATATTCTTTTAATACTCCAAAAGTTCTTCTCCTCTTACCTGCCCTCCCCCCACTCTCCCACCGCTGCTTTTACTGTAGTCTACTAGTCTCAGCTTTATTTGCGGCCTTTTAGTTGGTCTAATATCTATTTTATTATTTTAAAGCCCTCTCTAACCATATATTGCGAACGGTACTTACAATATGTATTTACAAAATATAACACTGCGGTAATTGAGAGTATCGATAGAATATTCGCGGAATTTGAGGGCAATTATAAAAATTTTTCAATAGGGAATATCAAAGGATACAAAGTTTGGAAAAAAAATTCTGACTGTTAGGCTAATTTTTTTTTATTAGTTTAGAGATAATTTGCATTAATTTGTATAAAAAATATTTGAAATAAATATTACAAATTTTTTTTTTGTATTTCTTTAATAATATTAGATGAAAAATGCTTGCTAAAGAAGTGGTAATAGCGTAGTTGGATTGCTAGTACCACACGACTTTCTATTGCTAAACTTATTCTTATTAGCGACAGCAATTGAAATTATGATTTTTTAAGACAAAAATCTTTGCAATAATCATTATCATTATCACTATTATTGCTATTACTGCTTTCAGTGGTATGCGAATACAAATAAGTCTGATTATCCTACTTGTTTCGCTCGACGTGATCATTGTCGTACACCTGGTACTAAGCGTATAAAAAATATTCAAACATATCGTACTGCTCAAGATTGTATGAATAAAGAATTTCGTAGGGGTTTTTTGTTTTTTTTTTCGAAATAAATTTAAAATAAATTTCTATAATTTTATAATTTATCAAATTAATTCATTAATTCATTTCATAAAAAAAATGATTTATTTCAGCAAATCATTCAGTGAAATATGTGTTGAGATGCAGTAAAGGTTATGGTATAGTAAAATATAAAGGCGAACCAATAATAGCGCGTGGTGATGAATGCCGTGGAATATACGATTCTGATTTGTGCGATAGGAATGAACTTTGTTTCGGCAATACAAATTTCAAATATTGTTGCAATAGAAAATCGGAAGAAAGTATGATGAAGCGATAAAATTTGCAAGAAAATTCATTTTTATTTTATTTATTAAAAAAAAAAAATTTCAAAAAATTTTTCATTGTATAATTTTAAATTAATGAAATAATGAGAGGTAACTTATTTTCTCAATATATTGGTTATTAGATAAGTATAATGTCCTACTTTATTATTTTTAGACGAGTACCACAATCCTTTTTAGGTATGTCTCGACTAATTTAATTGAGATTTTCGATAGAGAGCTACTTGAGAATGAAAATATATATATATATATATATATAAAAGTGAATAAGCAGTTGTCATCCAAGTTCCATTTTAAATATTAAGCAAGAGGCAAAGAAGGCTCAACTTTGCTTATTGCTTAGTCTCCATTGATCTAAATGAGATTTTAACTAATCACGATTTGATTCATGCAATTATATTTTGGCTTTAATGCATAATATTTTTCGTAAATTTTTTTAGATTATTTCTTTCCTATTTTAAATTTCAACAAATATTTTCAGTATTTTTATTAATTTTTATTTAATTTCAGATGAAGTAACACATAAATTCACTGGAAAGGTTATTATCAAATTTTATTTAAATATTAAAGATATTTGATAAGAATTGGGGATTTATTTTAGGGTTCTTCACAGAGCCCTAGTAAGTTTCGCTTCAAATAAATCTTTTTCTTCCAGAAAAATATTTTAAATATATATGTATATATTTATATATAATTTTGGCGTTATAAATTAAATCAGTGATAAGTAATGTTTTTTTTTTTTTTAGAATTTCATGGCAAGCATGACGAATAATCGTCGCCGCTAATATGAGATTTTCGATTTATTATTCATTTAAAGAGATTTAAAAATTAAAGAAATATTTTAAAGATAAATTCCTATGCAAGTAATTATTGTTGTGTGAAAAAATTTTCACTCTTTTATTCTATTTTTTGCAAAAATTTAAATTTAAAATTGTAAATCGAAATTTTAAAATCCTTTAAAAAGAAAAAAAGATCGAATACTATGAAAAAATAGAAGAGGAAAAAATTCATAAAGATAGATGAGCTAAAAATTTTTTGCATTGTACAAGAAAAATATCCTATAAAAGAGTTATTCAAGAATAAAGCGGTATAATTTTTTTTTCCGATTTTTCATTTTTTTTTTCTCAAATAAATAAATTTTTTTGAAGAAAAATATTAGAATGAAAAATTTTTGGACAGTTAAAATTAAAGCTATTGTTTTATAAGTAATTCGTATATTTTTGGCAGCTCAGTAAGACTAATCGAAGCGGGTCTTCATGAATATTCAAAGAAGTCTTTTTTCATCTCTGCTGCCACCTAAAATCGAACCCATATCTATGGTGGCCGATTTCAATGCAAATAAACACTCTTCTATTTTCTACGCCAATTTATTACTCATATTTCCGGTTTTTATTATGAACTAATATTATTAGTGAATTTTCATTTATTTGTAGTTAGCGTTATTTTATTTCCTATACAGAACAACGCCAGTAGAATTGTCGATCTAACACCTATTCATATAGCTCAGGTAGTTCGAGCAGCTGAGATACGCATCTCTCTGAAAATAAAATCTTACTAGTTAAGTACATTTCAAAATTATTAAAAGTAAGTAAATGTAAAATTACTTAAGTATCTTTGAATCATTAAAAGTAATTTGGAAGTGATAAGTGATTTAATTTAACTTATATAATATTACGATTTGATGGATGGCAATTAATCTCTTCTTATAATACTGTAACAGTTGCTTATTGGTAAAGGTTTATCAATAGCACAAAATGTATGATTTAGGCGATTAATGAAAACCATAAATGCAAAAGAATGAGATCTTTGATAGCACAAAGTGATTAAAAATATGTTAATCAGTCGGCCATTTGCCAGGAATATGGGTTTCTCAATGCCCTTTTTGCCAGCATATATTGCCACGAATAAGGATTCATTGGAGCGCGTTTACCACCGAATGCCATCCATCCATACGGATCTCGTTCGCCATACTATAAAACAATAAATGCAAATAATATATAATCTCATGCATCCTTTTTCTCCTGATACCTGATTTTTTTTTTTTAATCTCTGATAAATTAAAATTTTAGCCTTTAAAATTCGATTATTTGGCGATGGCCTTAATTTTTATCTTTTATTTAATCAATTTGAATTTGAATAATAAATCGCACTTCATTAATATCTTTTGTACTACGAAGGAAAATTTGATGATTACACTTTTCAAGTTTAAAACAGCTTGAATGAAACAGTTAAAATATCAATGATAAACATTTATATTAATCTAATTTGAACAAATAAATATAGATTATTGATAAACAAAGATAAAAGATATATGGGGTTTAAATTGATAAAAAAATTGATAAGAAAAAATATTTAGGATTTAATTTGATAAAAAATAAGTTATTTCACTTTTTTTTTGTCATTGCTGATAATAAAATAATTTTCTTAAATTTATTAAAAGGAAAATTAATCAATAAAATAAATTTTTAATGAAATTAATTGAATTTTAACATAATGTAAAAGAAATTTTATTCTCAACAAGTAACAAATTGAATTTGGCATATAATTTTCAATAAACTGATTTAGCTGTTGACCATCCTTTAAACGCTAATTGAAGCCAACAGCCAACTAATTATATCATCTTTTTCTAATAGCTCGCACAAATACTGGTTAGGCTGGCTTCGCTGGCTACAAGGATAAGATGTCTCCAAGCTGTTCGGTCCGACGCCATCACTGACAATCAATAAAAGCTATTCATTCCTTTTTTCATCGTCTAACTCGATATATCGTTGGTCTCCTGTATGTTTAAAATTTTTCCTGACTGTATCAATCCAGATTTTGAATGATCCTCCTCATTTTTGACCAAATATATGAAAAATCTAATTTGCCAAAGAAATCATCGCAAGTTTGAACACTTAATTATAACTTAGATTTATCAATAAACTACTGAAAATCTTCAAAATGATAAGAATTATCGTAATCAAATGAGCAGAAAATTAGAAAAAAGATATTTGATTGTAGTGATTATTTATTACAAGTATAAGACAATGGGAATGCTTCATAATTAACCAACTAAAGTTTTAGCTCAATAAATTCGTTTAAGCGCTTATCAACTGGTTTTCAATTTTTTTTTCTTTTGTAGAATAAAATGAAAAATTTTTCAAAACCAAAGCAAAAACTTTCTTTTAGTTCATCTAGTCATAAATTTAAATATGTCATATTTGCTAATTATTTCGGGTCGTTAAAAGGATGATCTACCGATTATTTTCAACTCAAACCATTGTATTCATCCAAGAATAAGGATTTCTTGCTTTTTTCTCAAGTCTGCCTGCATCCATAAATTCGCGACCCCATGGAAAGATAGAATTTTCGTCAGCCTGCTCTGACCATTGAGCTGGAGAGCGGCTAACGCGTGCATAATTCATCCATGAATAAGGATTACGCGATCGTTTATCATCTGCAATATCAAATCTCTATGCCAATTTTTTTTTTCTTTTTATAATACAAAAAAAATGCGATAATTTTTTTTTTTGCACATTATTGATGAATTATACTAAAGGCTTTTTTATAAGTTCATATTATATTTCTAAGCCGAAATACTGTTAGCCACTAACTTAACCAAATTTTTTTTCTTTTTTTATAAAAAATTAAAATTAGAAATTAGAAAAAATAAAATTAGAAATGATAAAATTAAAATGTGGTATACTATAATATAGAAATATAGTAAAATTGAATAATTAATCAATTATTATTACAATTTAAAATAATTAAGTATTAATTAATGATTTATAATTAAATATATGAAAACGAACGAACCATCACCAATGACATCGCTTTTTGCATTGGCATAAAACATTCGAGTAACAAGCAGAAAATACAATAATAAAATATTGCCCATCATTTTCACTATAAAATATATTCGTTAAATGAAAAATATGATGATTATTCGCTTTCTCATTTGTAGAAAATTCCGCATTCTAAACCGTTTTTTTCATTCATTTTTATCAATTATTTTTATCAATTGTTTGGAAAAAAAAGATTGATAATTTTAATTCTTTCTATTAAATTTTTATTTTTTTGATTCATATAATACAAAAGTAAACTTAAAAAATTATAAAAAATTGAGCAGAAAAAAAATTAAAAAAAAAAGTGGAATGAAATGAGAGAGGGTTGTTGTACTGGTTTCGAAGCGCTGATACTAGGATTCTACTCTCCGTAAGAGTAAACCTGCCTTTAAAAAATCCGACTGACACATTGCCAAGTGACCTGTTAGTAAAAGAAATGAAAAGACTCGTTGGATAAGTTAATGTAGTGGAAAATGGTAAGTGCTTTTGAAAAAAAAAAAAAAAAGAAATGAAAAAAAATAAGAAAATTTATAAATATATTTATATATTAGCTTTTAATATTTTTTTTATTTTGTTGCCGAAAAAAGCTGAAAGAAAAATAAAACTTTTCGCAATTTTTTCGCATCGACAATTAACCAGGCTTTAATTAAAAGTGCATTTTCTAATGTTAAGAAATTAAAATTTATTTTTTACTTAATTTCAACTCAATTGATAAAACATTAATTTTTGTTTTATTAAAAAATATTAATAATATTAAAATATTAATTTGATTAAAATAAAATAAAATAACTGAATCAATGATACAATTATAAATGCGACTTATAAGAAGAAGAGAAGCGATTTCATTAATGCCAATCTTATCAGAATTTGATAAAGTAAAAAATATTTGATAATTAAGAATTGTTATAGACCATGACTATCCATCCTTATGAAACTTCCCATAATTTGCAATAATGCGGTCAATTAGGCAAAAAATTAAAAAGAAAATAAATGGATAAGTACTTCATAAACAAAGGGGTAAGTAGTTTAGATTAAATTCAGTACAAATTTTGCTCTAGCGAATAGAATTTCAATGAGTTCTCCAAATATTACACAATATAAGAACAAATGAGTTCAATAAGTGGACTCACAAGGATTTCATTTAAAATATATAAAATTTATGAAATAATGAGATGAAAAATATGAAATATGTCAAATTTTACATAATATTTTTATGATAATTGATAAGAAAACCACTTATGATTGATTGATAAGATGATCAAAATATAGCCTAAAAGAAATCTTAAAAAATCTTAAAAAAATAAAAATATATCTTCGATAATATTACCCTTGAATTCTGCAAAAATTGGTTCTAAAAGATTGCTTTTTTTTCCCCAAAAATTTATTTTTTTCTAAATAATATAAATAGAAAAAAAATTTTTTTAGAAAAATGCACTTATAAATTTTCTATATGAAAAGCAAAAAAATTCGAATAATTCTTCGCCAATAAAGAAACTCGAAAAGCTTTAACTCTCTCATTCGAAGAAAATTTGATGGAATACGAAAATATAATCCGCGATTTTAGAAAAAAAAAAGTCAAAGTAAAAGAGAAGAATATTTAAAAAATATTTAAAAAAAGAATATTTAAAAAAGAAAACTTCATTTTAATATCTATTTTTATTCCTTTAAGTTTTATTCTAAACTTTAATAAAATATAAAAATATTAAAAAAAATTGGGCAGATTTTCTTTTAAATCGAATTGATATAAAGTCGAATTTTTTAAAGAAAATTTCTTCCTCAATAAAATACGTCGAATTTAATTTATATTATTTAATTAATAAAATATTTTCGAAAGACAAAAATCCAACAGAAAAACAAAATTTAAATAAATTTAAATAATTTATATTAAATAAATTTAAATAATTTATATTAAATAAATTTGAATAATTTATATTAAATAAATTTAAATAATTATTATTATAATTATTTAAATAATTATTTAATTATTTAATATACTATTTAATATTGTGTCGATAATAAAAATTTCAAAAATATTTGGTAATTTGGTAAATAAAAAAAAAAAGAAATAAGTGATCATTTCTGATTAAGCTAGCTATTATCGTTGGTTATTAGCAAGTTTTTTGCTAAGGAATCATTTAGCAATTGAAGTGCAGATGGGTCACTAGCACCACTAGAATTTGGCAATTAATAGCTAAAGGCAATAAAATTTGCGATTCAACTACTAAAATCGGAAAAAAAAAACGCAATTATCTACATTTATACTAATTATAAAATCGAAATACTAAACCTATTTAGGGAAACTTAGCTGTGTGCAAATGTTTAAGAACAAATCTGTCTTTCTTTTTCTTACAAATACTTATTTGAAATGTGCTATTGCTAGCATTTTTAAAGAAAATTTAGAGAAATAATTTTGAAAAATCAAATCGGAGAGGTTTGTCAAAAGAAAATTACGGTAATAGTAAAAATCTTTATTTTTGATTAGTTTCAGCCATTTTTTATGGATAAAAAAAAACATGCAATTCGTACAAAAAATAAAATTTTTTTACAGATAAAAAATTCGTAGAATAAATAAAAAATAGCTAAGAATAAATAAAAATTAGAGTATTTACAAATGAATAACTAAAATGAATACCACTGAATAAAGTTAGAGTACTTGTAGAGAAATAAATTATAATAAACTGAATGTAAAAATCTGAATATTTTTATTCACTTACGATTTCGAGAACAAAATTTTTTTTTTTTCTAATAGAAATTTGTAGAATGGTTGTACCAGGCATATGCATTTTGTCTGAGTGAAATACTGGCTGACATGTGTCACGCAAATTCCTTGAACCAACTTTATATAAATTATGGCCCCATCGCTTGATGAAAAAAAAAATTTCTAAAAATTTCTAAATTTCTAACGAGAAATTGATGATAAATTAGTTTAGAGTATAATTATAAAAAAAAACCATCTCATCCTAAATAGATAGTATGGATTACTCTCAATCAACGGTCCTCTACCAGAGAATGAGGTAAGGAGTTTCATAGAGTGACTCTCGTCAGAAGCGTAGAAGAGACTGGCTGCAATTCGAACTGTTGTTGTTATATTCCGCATTAATTACATCCCATCTTATATCACCATAAAAATAATTATAATAACTACATAGTCGCAGGACGTGAAATGTAAGTAGTCTACACTGAAAGGTATAATCAAATAGCTGACATTGCCTACAGGAATATATACTAAGTATATGCTTAGACCCGCACAAAACTAGATGGAAAGTTCCCCACAAAATCGTAGAGAAAGCAAGGCTAAGATCTTGTGAGATTTCCATACAAACAAATATTGTCCAATTAACCACATATCGAAGTAAAAGTAGAAATCAACACTGGTGATAGATTTATGAATACCCAAGTGATAGGAACATTATTTTGGAAGAAAGAATATGAGAAGATACAGAAATACCAGAGGCTGAAAAGGTAAATACCAGAGATGTGACGGGTGAAGGCCAAAATAATCCTAGCAGTGTTAGGAACACTGAGGGATATGCTCCCTAAAAAAGTGGCCCAACAGGAAAAACATCAGATCACTGATTAGAAGAACAGAGCGTTAATAGATACGAACAGCTAAGATATTGCGCAGAATCCTGGAACTCCCAGATCTCGGGGTTGAGGACAATCCATACCATCCACATGGAATGAGAAGGGCATTTTTTTTTATAAATTTATTCATTATTAATAAAAAGAGACAGGATAAGCGAGTAATTATTAAGCAAATTATCATCTTGAAAGTCAGAAGTTTGGATTTGGTTTCCCACAAGAATAAACCTGTCATTAAAACATTCGGATGGTGTTGGTAACTTATCTGCTTTTTTATCACCAGATGACTACGTGGCAAAAAATTTTCATTGCACTAGCTACCAGCGCAGCTATCCTAGCCAATATGATAAACATTAACCGCTCCAATTTATTATTCGTAATAAAAATGGATTGCTTATAAGCGAAGAGACTTTAAACACCAACAAATAATTCATCAACATTATTAACTTAATTATCACTAGTACTAGTACTTTTCTTCATTTTTAGCCACAACTTCAAATATTTGAAGAGCAAAAGAGTGATTTAATCAATTACGAGCTATTTTATCTAATAAAATGATTGGTTCAACGAGCTACAAATGCTACAAAATGAAATAAACACATAGCCATATAGAATTTTAGTTTTCATGAAAAAAAGATTTTTCAATAAATAAATTCGAATTACAATAATAATTAAGAAAAATCGAGAGAAAATTTCGAAAAAAATCGTTTATTAAAAAACTTTTTATTTCAGTTTGTTCAGATAATTTTCAACTTATTTCCACGAAACGCAGTATATTTTACAAATTTTTTTCCAAGAAATTTCTTTCCGGTAAATAAAATAGTTTAGCGAAAGAGTAGTCTAAGAGGAATGAGAGTTTTGGTTGGTTTCTTAAGAGAAATCTTAAAAAAATCGAATTATTATAGTTTAACATTATTATGATAAGTGATAAGGCCTTTTAAGTAAAATATTTCATTAAGAAACAAAATTTCCTCAATGAGCATTAATTTACATTTTATCAAAAATTTCCTAAGGATAAAATAGATCACTTAGCAACAATTAAAATTCAATCAAAAAAAAATCATTTGAAGCAGATTAGATTGGACTTTGCTATTTGAGATGCTTCCGGGCTATATAAAAATGAATAAGTGAAATGATCAAATAATTTGGATTGAATTTCAATTTTAATGTGAATAAATCAAAAATCGATGGGTAAATTTTTGGAATTCTTTTTTTTATAAGAACAATTATATTTTTGGAGTTTTTTTTTTTTATAAAAGCAAAAATCTAAAGAAGAAATTAGCCGAAAAAATTATATTAAAAAATATATCTACGAATGTTGATTTTAGCGAAAAATTATTTCAGCTAACTAATTCATTTGAAATCTTATGGATTATAAAATAGGATTAGGCAAAACTCATCGTTTGAAGATATTTAGGATAGCATTTAAGGGAATTTATGGGCACAGCGCAAGTTTTATGATATTAGTAAAATT